TCACTGGACAAGCTGATTAACCCAGGTGTGTCTGGCTGGTTACTGAGGTCAGACACACCTGGATTAATCATGCAGATCTTGTCTCATTCTGTTTCCTGTTACTGAATCCCATTTTTTCATCATGATCTTTCATATATTTACAAATTGAGTAGAAAAGCACAGTTAAGCCTTGAAGTCTATGCTCATAAATCATAATCATAAATCAGCAAAACAACTAAAAATATCTCTATTTATAATAACTATCTGAAAATATAAACTAAGTCACCAATCACTTCTAAAATGTCTTTAGACAAACCCTTGTTGATTCTAATAATTTTTCAATATAAATCACTCAAATTTTTTTTTTTTTTTTTGTACCTAGGCACGGACCAAAGATTTCTCAAAAGGATCAGCGCAATTCAAATAAAATAATAGATGAACACATACCATATTATAGGTCAACTCCCATCAGTTGCAACCATTTTTGACAACAAACTTCTTCTGTTTTAAAAGTTGTGCTCTCTGTTCCTTATCTTTACGTTAAAAGCAGCTCAGCCAGGTACCATAACAGCTGTTTTAATGCTCACACGCTCTTTCAACTCTAATAACAGTCTACATGCAACATTTGCACCCTAAACTGTAAAATCGGGGGACATTTCTGGGTACAGCTTTTGTCGGGAACAGGTGATCCCTAACGGGGACTGAACCTGGAAAGCAGGGATATCTTTTCACCATGTTATAAAGTAGTATTTTTATGAAGAATTGGTTTTAGTGGTAAGGTTTTAAACTTAGAAAAGGGTTAGGGTGAGTCCTGATGGGCTGCAGCCAACTTCCAGAAGAGGGGAGTCTGAAACAATTTGTTTTCAGGGTGGAAAGGGGCCAACAGCAATCCCTCCTGCTCGCCTCCAACTCCTGGATGCATGCAGATCCTAAAGAGAAGGAAGACTGCGTCCAATCATGCTCCCTGCAACCTGCCCTTGTCCCTGGTGGTGGCAGCATCGTACCAGATGGTGATGGAGGAGGAAAGGATGGACTCAATAATGGAGGAGTACAAATGCACAGTCATTGTCTTTGGCAGGCTGAAATTTTTCAGCTGCGTAGGAGCTGAAAAATTGTGATGTTTAGCTCCCACTTGAGGTTTCTGAGAGATGATCGTGCCCACGAAGCAGAGGGATAGGATACTGGAGAGTCACACAGTATGATGGGACGGGTGGATCTGTGCTCTATTAACTCCATGACCATTTCCACTGTTCTTTATAGTGTTGAACTCCATGCTGTTCTGGCTGCGCTGGGACACCAGGTGATTGATTTCCCACCTGTAGGCAGTCCCATCCTGTGGGGAATGAGACTGTCTATAGGAGCTTGATGAACTGGTGACTGGAGGTGTAGATGTTGGTGTACAAGGAGAAGAGCTGAGTAAAGAACACAGCAAGGGGGGGGGGTGCTGGAGGTCCTGAAAACTAAGACATTTTCGCAGCTTCACATGATATTTCCTGTCTATCATGCACCTGCATATATTTGACTGCACACACAGAGTTGATGTGTTACCATATCTCTACAAATCTAGATATTGCTGCTATGAGAGGCTGCAAGTCCCTGGTTAAAACACCACAATGTGCCACTGTGGGTCCCTGAGCAAGACCAATAACACCAATCACTAAGTGCAGAGAGAAATTCCCACGCTATTGGACAATTAAAATATATTAAGATAAGAGGACTATGATATCTATCTATCTATCTATCTATCTATCTATCTGTCTGTCTGTTTCTCTGTAGAATAAAGTGGATGTATGTTGCATTATGGTCATGGTGATCATTTGCTGGATCTCATTTAAAACTATAGCTATATTAGTCAAGGAATACTAGGGGCTTTGTTAAAGCACTAGATGATGTAAAGCAGATTAAATGTAGTCGAATTCAAACAAGGTTTCAATAAATACTGTACATGTTTGATCTCTGAGTTTTCAATTATCTGGATCTGGTAGTGAAACAAGTCTGAAGACATCCCTGGTCAAATGTTAACTCAATTCGTATGAATTATAATGGCAGACTATTAACTTTATACTTCTTCTTAGAATATTTACAGATAAAGAAATTATTAAATATAAGAATATATTTGCATAGAAAATACAGTTAAATGGTTGCAAGATTTTAATCCAGTTTCTTAAATCATCTTAAATCAGTCATAATTTTTAAGGGACAAGGTATTTCCCATAAAAAGATTAACTTTCCAAAGATTTGAGCTTGTCTTAAAAACTGGCAGAAAATATAAAACAGACTGTTATTGAGTTTAAAAATAATACCTGTACTGTCGATATAGCTGTAATGCGTTACATGAAATTTTCTCATAAATGCCTCCCCGTCTGTCATTGCAGTCAACACACATGCATTTCACAACAGTTAACTTCCGCATTAACAGAATGTCAGTGAAAACTTTGGCTTGTTATCAGAGTGGCTGCATGCCAGGTTTACAATGCTTTACCACAAGCAATGACAAGAATGTAGACAACTTCACAGCTTGGTGCCAGTTTCTTCAGTACTGTCATCAGTTTCCTGCTAGAACACATTTCTTCTTTTTTTTTTTTTTCTTGGGAATTTTCAGGAATTTGCTAGTGCAGGCTGTTAGCAGCTATGTCTAACACATGTGTGTCATCTTTCTCTCTTGATTTGAGAAAATGCCTTTTTATAACTTACTTAGCAATTTTCATTCAGATTGACACTTGGCTGTCCTTTTCTTTCCTTCATATGCGCAGCAGTGTTTTTTTTTCTCCCTTTTTAGTTCTGTCAAGAGTGAAGTCATGCCTATAATCTGTCACATTCAGCTCACTGCTACTGATGTTTGATTAGTCACTGACTTGTAATGAGGGGCAGTATGCGCTCCCATCAGCGTGTTAATGCCGGCACAGAAATCTTAGACATTCTTTGAACGGATCCCTGACAGTCTAAACCAATGTATCACTTTAAAATGTAATTATACCAGTAAAGAATTTCTTAATTTTACCTAAAGTGAGATGCCAACATATATGGTTTACAAATAAAGTAGCAGATTTCATCTTTTTTTTTTTTTTTTTTTACAATATTTAACTAAAATGTCCCTTTTAATGGATCTTTAAATTAAAAGCTCCCCTATTTTTTTCATGTCAATCTGAATTTTACTGTCTGAACGTGCATTGAGTAATAATAATAATATCAGATAAATTGATTTGAAAAATTAAAATCAGGAGCAGCTGAGCCTTTTAAACAGGGGCGGAGCTCGATGGGGGGCCAGGGGTGGCCATGGCCACCCTTAACCAATCATTGGCCACCCCTACCATTTTTTTCCCTGTAACACAGATGGTGTCAGCAGTAATACTCTCAAGAGAAATATTCAAAACATTTTCATTTTTCATATATTAACAATTAATTGACAACAAAAACACTGTGGTTAATTATGCACATCAATATACTAACATTTAAGATGATAAGTACAGAATTAATTGCTGTTTTCAGAAAAGATTATGTGTTATATAGGGTAAAGAGAAAATTATACCTCTGCAAGTCATCTAAGAGTCTTCAGTGAAATCAGAAATAAATAATTATTTTAATAAAAACTTATTAAATAATCAATTTATGTAGCTATTAGTACTTGTAAATATAAATTTTATGCAGAATGATTATTGATAAAAGTAGGTAAGACATGACAATGGAAAAGATGTTCAATCCAGAACTCAAACCTGAAAGAATTTTATCCACTATACCTTTTATCTAGAAAGCACGGATGTTTAAATATATGCATCTATTTGTTGGCAGGGCTGTCGTAAAGGATAGTTGATTTAGAAAATATGGATGTTATGCTCATTAATTTTCCTGTTGAGACAGTGTTGCTTGACCCTGAGGTTCTGGCATCTATCCACTTTCGGCCACCCCTCAGTGTACTTTGGTTATTGCCTGGCCACCCTTATAAAACCTTTCTGGCTACGCCTCTGCTTTTAAAACTATTCATATCCCTTTAACGTTTTAACTGTTTTGCAAAACCTCAAAGTACCGTAGCACATAAATTAGAAGTGGAGGAACATTTGGGATGGTTTTACAAACACAAATCTGGGTGCATTGGTGGAGATGTTCCCTTGTATTCAGGACTCCTGAATCAGTGTCATGTATAGCAGATTAACTTTTCTTTGCAGTTAAAGATAGAAGACTGTGGTGAAATAATCTCACTTGAATTTAGGTCTGGGCCTTTTAACTGTATGAACGTGCATTGAGTAATAATAATAATATCAGATAAATTGATTTGAAAAATTAAAATCAGGAGCAGCTGAGCCTTTTAAACAGGGGCGGAGCTCGATGGGGGGCCTTTTAACATGAAGTAGCTCCTTTTGCGTATACAGGGTCCGTCTCCGGCTGGAAGGTGAACCTCTAAACCTGTTTCAAGTGTTTTCCAGCCTCAAATTAGTTTTCATCTTAGAATTCCCCTGTATTTATAGTCTTTTTTCCTGCTTAGGAAAAAGGTCCCCACAGAGTGAAGCGGCCATTGCTATGTGTTGGTCTAGAGATGTTGTAAATTTGTAAATCCTTAAGAGTATCTGCTTTCAAAATATTGTGTGATTAATATACCATATTTTGGGTTTGTGAACATATTTCTACACCAATTAAATGCTTTTCTCAATTTATCTTTACTTTTAATGCTTTGTTTTTGCATTTTTATGCATTTTTTCATAAGAGTTGGATTTCTCTAATTTAAAACATTTATAAGAATCCCTTTCTTAAAGAAAACTTTGACTTACAAACCTAAAGGAAATGGAACTAGCCTAATATGGATTTGCATTAATGTAACGCCTCCACCTGAAGCATGGTGTAATATTTCTCCAGTGACTGAACTTTGACCCCAGGTAACTCCTCCCTCCTGTCAGCTGCAGAGAAACCTTGCTGCCACATGAGTCCTTCCTCTGATCTCCCGTGCATGTCTGAACATGCCGAAAAAGACCAGGAGAGGGTGGAGTCAAGAAGGAAAAAAAGAAAACAAGAAAAACTGGAGAGCAAGAGCGACAGAGGGAGAGAGAGAGGGAGGAGAGAGAAGAGAGAGAGCAGAGGGTGTGAGAAAGTAAAGGGAAATCTTATGCTGAATCTGACAGTAAGGTTTGATGTTTCAAGAACGACAGTAACTGAAAGAGAAGAGGAAAAGTGCCTTTCATTTGGAAACGGAAGATAACATAGGTCGGGTGAGATCCGGTGAGGTAAAATGTGTGAAACATGTTGCTTCTTTGACTGATCCTGTCTTTCTCTTTCTGATTTCTCACAGAGCAGCTCCTCGATTTACTAGAGACGCATGCTGAACAGCTGGAAAAAAATTGAAACAAAGAAGAGTTTTAACTGAAGATCACTCAGAGCATTGCTTTTCTATTTATTTTTATCCAACAAAACCCAGAGGAAAGATTTCCAGAGATTAAAATTCACCTGATGTAACAAACCTGGAACAATAGAAGACCTCAGATACCCAAATACTGCTGAAGCCCTTCCTGGAAATCAAGACTAAAAATGTTGAAGCAGCATGAAGTATGAAGTATGAAGTAGAGAGCCCCAACTTGTCTCCTGGATGTCAGAACCCCAGGGGCCAATGAGCAGCATGGCATATGGTTGCAGCGCCAGCTTGCTCCGGGGCCGGCGTTTCTACTGCCGGGAATGGGCCCTTGAGAAGCTGAGGCGCTGCCTGGACGCCCGCTCCGTCTCCGGCCAAGCACCGGGGCTGCTGGTGACAGGGGGCCCTGGTGCTGGTAAGACCGCCCTGTGCACTGAATTGGTGTGGCCCACCTCACAGACGGGCCTGGCTGCAGGGCTGTCACAGCGCTGCCTTGCTTTCCACTTCTGCCTCAGGGAAGACCAAAGGAGCACGCTGCTGTGGAGGTTCGTCCTTGGCTTGGTGGAGCAGCTGAGGGCTTCCCCTCTTCTCCCTCCTGGATATGAGGAGATCCTCAAAAAGCCATCCGTGTCATCGGCTCTGGAGCCTCTAAACTGTCAAAAAGACCCTGAAGACACCTTCAAGAGGTTTGTACCACTTTAACGTCATTTAAACAATAGATAGAAATAACGCTTGAACCCCCAGCTTGTGATAAATCTCCCCTACCTGTGAAATGAAAGGGACAGGTAAGCTGCTTGAAGGTGCTGCAACAGTCCTGAAACAGGAGCATAGCATGCAGCAGCATGTGCGTGGCTCGCTTCCAGCCCAACAGAGCATAAATTATGTTATCACCCTCATTTTGATGGAGCTGCTGATGAAAGCCAACATCTGTCCTTGAGAAGCACGGCTTATCAGATTCAAGCATATGTGAAAACAGCCTGGGAATAGAAACCCGCTCTGCAGGTTTTAGCAGTTTTTGTTGTGTAGGTGGTCCATCTGAACATCACAATGTTTTTACCAAAAACTCCTCCTCCCCCTTAAACCACGCAGGCTCTCATTTAAGATTTTAAAGACTTTCTTAATAACCTTTTTCCTCCCTTAAATAGATGCATTAAAGTTTCTTGTTACTCATCTGACTACTGCTATGACCTTAAGCTTGTTGTACCTAACATATGTTTTCCGCCTGGATGTCATTACATTTTATGGCTACAGTCAGAATTTTGCCTCTGCCGCTTTTTCCAAGAGAACCTCAGTATTTGGAAGGTATTCAGCTTTTTTTTGCAATAAAGGTTAAAGGGGCTAATAAAAAAAAAACATGCCAAGTGCTGCCTGTTCGAACTGGATTAATTTTAGTCTAATGAATTAGGATATTTCCAAAAAAGTGTAGTAGAATAGTTTATAAGCTGTTAATAATTGCCAGCAGTAGCTGAAAGTAATAGCATCTTCCTTTTAGTACAGACACTGATTAGATGGTCCTATAAAGGAGGATTCAAACAGCTAGTCTGAAAGACTGACTCTGTTACTATGGGGTGGTTATTTACAGATGACCACTTTATTATAGACATGGGGGATTGTACACATGTTAAAGGCTGTGCATCACAAATAAAACATGCAGAGAACTGAACGTACACGTTTCCAGTAAAATAGGCTCATTAAAAAACTACATTATTCAGTAAAACAGTTTTTGCACAAACATAAAGGCTCACATGAGACTCTCATGTAATATTTTGGAATTTATGCATAAGTTTCGTTCGGTTGAAAACGAACACCTTTAACCCACAATTCTTACAGTAAAAAACCGAGAACATACACTATATTGCCAAAAGTATTTGCTCACCTGCCTTGACTCACATATGAGCTTAAGTGACATCCCGTTCCTAATCCATAGGGTTCAATATGACGTTGGTCCACCCTTTGCAGCTAGAACAGCTTCAACTCTTCTGGGAAGGCTGTCCACAAGGTTTAGGAGTGTGTTTATGGGAATTTTTGACCATTCTTCCAGAAGCGCATTTGTGAGGTCGCACACTGATGTTGGACGAGAAGGCCTGGCTCTCAGTCTCCGCTCTAATTCATCCCAAAGGTGTTCTATTGGGTTGAGGTCAGGACTCTGTGCAGGCCAGTCAAGTTCATCCACACCAGACTCTGTCATCCATGTCTTTATGGACCTTGCTTTGTGCACTGGTGCACAGTCATGTTGGAAGAGGAAGGGGCCAGCTCCAAACTGTTCCCACAAAGTTGGGAGCATGGAATTGTCCAAAATGTCTTGGTATGCTGAAGCATTCAGAGTTCCTTTCACTGGAACTAAGGGGCCAAGCCCAGCTCCTGAAAAACAACCCCACACCATAATCCCCCCTCCACCAAACTTTACACTTGGCACAATGCAGTCAGACAAGTACCGTTCTCCTGGCAACCGCCAAACCCAGACCCGTCCATCAGATTGCCAGATGGAGAAGCGCGATTCGTCACTCCAGAGAACGCGTCTCCACTGCTCTAGAGTCCAGTGGCGGCGTGCTTTACACCACCGCATCCGACGCTTTGCATTGCACTTGGTGATGTATGGCTTGGATGCAGCTGCTCGACCATGGAAACCCATTCCATGAAGCTCTCTGCGCACTGTTCTTGAGCTAATCTGAAGGCCACATGAAGTTTGGAGGTCTGTAGTGATTGACTCTGCAGAAAGTTGGCGACCTCTTCGCACTATGCGCGTCAGCATCCGCTGACCCCGCTCCGTCAGTTTACGTGGCCTACCACTTCGTGGCTGAGTTGCTGTCGTTCCCAAACACTTCCATTTTCTTATAATACAGCTGACAGTTGACTGTGGAATATTTAGGAGCGAGGAAATTTCACGACTGGATTTGTTGCACAGGTGGCATCCTATCACAGTTCCACGCTGGAATTCACTGAGCTCCTGAGAGCGACCCATTCTTTCACAAATGTTTGTAAAAACAGTCTGCATGCCTAGGTGCTTGAATTTATACACCTGTGGCCATGGAAGTGATTGGAACACCTGATTCCAATAATTTGGATGGGTGAGCAAATACTTTTGGCAATATAGTGTATCAATTACTTTACATTACAGTATTTAACTCAATTCAGTTTATTAACAAGTGCCAATTCACAACATATGTCATCTCAAGGTACTTTACAGAGAAGTTTTTTGTCAGAGGAAAACCAGCTCTCATTTAACTGGAAGAAACCTTCTGCTAGAGGTTTCTTCCGGGAGCTGGCTGGACGTTTTTCTGTTAACTTGTGATTTATATATATTTAAATGACAAATTTGAAAGGAAACTGGAAGCGCTTTAGAAAATTAAAACTAACACTCATCAAGCAACATTTTGCATAGAAAATGGCCTTTTTGCCTAACGTATTTCACTGTTTGCCGCACAACATGATAGAAATACTTTAAAGTGTTGCTTTAAGCATATGCCCTGTACTGCTTGCTTAATAGCTTCGCCTATATATTTAGGGTTAATCCTTTTTAGGATAAAAGGAGCAGCTTTTCCTCCTTTTTTATGTAAAATACACAGCACCAGCTTCCGCTTGCAGGGCCTATACAAAAACCCTGATTACATTTCCAAGTTATATTTCTCTCCTCTAAAAAGAGCTGAATCTTTGATTGTTTTAATTGCCTGCAGTCTCACAGCATGTTAATGTGAAATCTTTTGGCTGTAGGCATTAGAAGCCAGGGTAGTGGCAGGAAAAAAACCGAGCACAGCAGCCATTCTTTCCTCAACTTATATTTATTTCATGTCCTATAATGCAGCCCATTCACTGCAGTCCACAATGGCCCTCCAGTGTGAATGAATGCTGCAGTTTTATTTACGACACAACATCCTTCCAGGGAGGAGAGGGGGGGTAGGGGGGAGAACAAAGAGGTGAAAAATGCCTCCCCTACCCTAGTGACCATCAGAGCACCAGTCAGCGAGGTCACCCTCCTCGCCGGGACTTTTCAGCTCTCTCCTGATGTGTTTGTTCTGCGCTGAGTCCGAGCTCTTTCATGCTCCTGTTCGTGTTTGCTCTCCTCTGGTGTTAAGGACCCCACTGGATTCCACATTCCCCACAGACTGGCTTGCAGCCAGCAGCTGGTTTTTGTTTGGAACCCACAGAAAGTTGCTTCTGGCAAAAAAAAACAACAAATAAATAAAAAAACGTGCATCCTTTAAAGCCTGCCATCAATATGCTGATGATATGTGAGCCTTGCATTTGCTGCAAGCAAGAAAACACGACATGGGACATGTGTCCTAAAGCGGCAGGAAGCTCTCTGCACCCAGCAGGTCATTAACACGGCTCAGGTTGTTTGCTGTGATGCAGCTCCCTCAGCGTTGAATGATGCAGACCTCAAGTTCAATGAGTTCGCCTCTTTGTGTGAAACAAGATCAGCCCCTACAAGCAGCAGGATGTCTATTTTTACTGTCAACCATTTCAGAAACAGCCTTAAAGGCATGAACAACTTATAAAAGTCACGTAGGCTAACTGTTCAGTCCTAAAAAAGCCAAAACTCGACATATCTGCTTTTCAAAAAGAAATCCTAACAGATCTATAAACTTTATAGTGCTTTGTAATGATACTACGACTCTTAAACTATTCAAAATGGCTTCAATTTATAACCCAAAGCTCCACTGTTCCAGTAGGATTATAGATGATCAACAGACATTAAGTATGAATGGAAACGGCGTGTTTAGGTTGCCTTCCTGTTTGAAGCTGAGCCACTAATTCGGTCTTAGAACATTTGCAGAAAAAAAGCAGTAAAAACACGCAAAGCTTGTAGCCTCAGACTTAAAAAGAAAACTTGAAACAATAAAAATGATAAAAAATAGGGTGGTAAAGAGCTGCTGTAATCTGTACTTGTAGAAATAAAGGTCATTTTTAACCCTTGTCAGTTCTAGATATGCAGATAAATGAAGGACCAATGGAAATAATGCTAAAAGCTCATAAATGCAATTAGATCTTTGACCCACTTTGCTTTTCATGTTAGAAATGATTAATGTTTCATTTCTATCTTATAAAACCTTAAATCTTTTAGGAAAAAAAACTTTAAATTTGGCATGTCATATATATATATATATATATATATGGAAAAAAACTAGGTGGCAACGAAAAAAGATTGGGATAACAGTGACTTTCTTGTGCTGGTGGTGTTACAGTTTAAGCCCCCTCGACAATTTTGATCTTATTCTAATTATAGTTTAAAAACAGTACCTACAGAGCTCAGGCATTCAGTTTATCAAGGGTTTTAACAAGCCTGAAGTGATTTACATCCTGCCTTCGAAGTGTATTTGTCACCAACTCTGCCCTCTAATTACTGCAGGTGTCACACTGACACGCGCCCCTTCAATAAGGCCCATTATATCACAGCTTCAAAGTTCACCCACTGAAGTCTGTCCAGTACCGACTAACCTGAATGAGGTGGAAAAACATTAGCGGCTATAAAAGGTTAATTGCACTTCCTGCTCTGTTGGTGTGCGTGTGTGTCTGTGAGTGTGCGCTCGGTCGGGGAGTGTTGTTTTATTCAGATGACTAAAAAGCACAGCATCTTGATAAGCTTCTCGGCACTTAGATGTGGTTGGATGGGGTTTAGAAATCTACTTTTAATTGCAGGATATAGCCAATAATAAAAAGCTGGTCCTGTTAGAGCCATTCGGATGAGTCAAACACCAAGGGTGTCTCAAATTCTGTGTTAATCTGCCTCTTGTGAAATGTATTCCTTGATATTTAAAGAAATTAGGAACACCAATGAACAATATTTTAACAAGCCAAAGTGCAATGTCTGTTAGAATAAGGCTGATCTACAGAAAATGATGCAAAACACTATGGAAAACACATGCTTTAATTATATTTTTAATGAGTATGTCAGCCATCACTGTAACTCCGTACTACATCCCATTTAAACTGTTCATGCAGCTCCTCAAGTTGTTGCCTTGGCTACGAGGGACTCGGTTATCAAGGCAAATTTTTACAATTCAAATCAATCTGTCAAAGTGAGCAAATGATTTTAAAAATACATTAATCAGATTTAGGGTGTATGATAATGAGAGGTATGGGTGTAATAAAAATGGGATATTATACGGTATATATAAACTGTATATATATATATTTTTTTTTTTTCTTTTATCACTTTCACTAGTTTAAACACAAAAAAGTTTTTTTTTATATGATACTGTTCTACATCAACAGAGGAAAATCATCCCAAGTCAGCATTGGGCCATGTGAGTGTAACTGCACCACTATTTACTGTAATTTCAACCATGCTTTGGACAGCTGATTTTAATTTCACGAGCTGTACCTGGGCAAGATTAGTGCCATTCTTTTAGATCAGATTTAGATATCATAAAAGGAAAAACTGTTTTATTCCATCGAGCTATTCATTGTTGTAAGGTATGAATATGTAGCTGCTTCTACATTAAATGAGCCACCACAGCAGAGCTAGTTGCTACAAAAAGTTACCAACTTGGTTTACTTTTTTAATGAGTCTGGATTGAAAATAAACTAGTCCGTTCTTTCTAATTACACCATCCTTCCTCGCCAGAATAACACTCAAACATTCTTCTGTACAAAGATAAGTACTAAAGAAGATGCAAGCTGAGCTATTTTTACTATCAGTACTGTGCCTTTGAAATATGTAGATGTTTCAAGAGAAACAGCCACTAAAGCTATGAAAGAGTAGGACTCAAACAGTACAATCCTAATTATGTAACTGATTTGTCTTACAGTAACTTTCAGATGTTAGCAAAACCGGTTTTTCCACAAGTTCATTTTAACACAGTTGGCTTAAAGTTTCTCACAGCACGAAGGCTAGGATAAGATCTTTCAACACTGTTTAAATAGGGAGGCCTTCAAAAATAAGGTGTTTTCCACCAAATTCAAATATTAAGCAATGTCATAAAAACATTCCTTTGGAAGAACAAGTTCACATCATATGCAGATGCTGTCAAGACATGCATTAAGCTGTTGAGAGAAAGCCACTGATGACTAATTTATTTGATGTTGAATTGCCACATCTCAGGATTTGCTGACCTTGATTTCATCAGTTAACAGCCTGTTTAATGTTAGTTGCTCATATTCATGATAGCAGTTTTGATCAACCCTTATATGAATAAATATTTTTCCCTCTTCTTGTATTATATAGTATTTCCAGTCATCAGTGTTAAAATTTTCTTTAATTTAGCTGTTTTAGATTCTTTGTTAAACATGGAACATCTTGTAAAACACTTTTAAACTTCTTTTATGTAGTCTTTGAATCAGCTGTAAAGAAAATCCCTTTTGATAACTAAAGATTATTGGACCTTGTAGTCCTTCTCGAACATAGACATTAACACTAATAAGACTGTACAGACAGAAGCGCACACCCTGTACTTGTGGTAAAATAAATGGCTTGAGCTTAGCCTCTTTGTGACCTGTCTAAATCAGACTAGTGACCTGGTTTAAGTACTGATTGTTGCCTTTTGAACATAACAAAATTATCGTTATTATTTAGTACTTTCATGCAGTAGCAATGAATATACTGTTTTTTAAGACACTTTTGTTTGAATAAAAGATGTGAGAAATGAATAGTGCGCTTAGCTGAAACAAATCTATGCCTGATAGTTTTGAAAAGGGCATCATTGGCTGCGACATGTTAGGCCACTAATCCAGTAACTACTGTTTATCTCTTTTTTTTCCAAGGGAGGAGAGTTATATCTGGCAGCTCTGTGCTTTGTTGGAGCAGCAGGAATATAATATGCCTAAAGCATAGATAGTAACTACTATTATTTTATGTTACCTGTTGCATCTGTTTGGGCTCAGTGGTGATCTACAGTAAATGAGCAGTTTTCTTCTCCATTCCCCCTGCTTTATATAAATGATCATTTTAAGGTTTTATATTTACGCTCTTGCTGCTCATCTGCCAAACAACTGCTCCTTTGTCTCTAATATTCGAAATTGAGTAAGTGCTTCAAGTTTTGGATTGAGAAATCCAGAGGAAGAGGCATTAATGACTGAATCTACTCTGCTCATATATTGATCTGCATGTGTGCAAGCGTGCACAGATCGGCGGAAAAAAAAAAAAAAAATCCCCGGAGTTCCACAAACCTGAGTCACCTCTACCTAAAGGCAGGGTGTTGGTGTTGACTGTGCTCCTTAAAGGCCCATTCTCTTTTGGATTTTGCCAAGTTTTAAATTGTTTTATAGCTCTGAGGTTTCACTGCTTAATTGCTGCCAAAGATATAGTCGGTTCTTTGTGTAAATTACAATCTCAAACTAGTGTTCAAGGTAAACAATATCAGCTAGCTCATGTTGTGCAAATGTGTTAAAGAAGTAACTCTTTAACAGTTTTTATTACCATTTTCCAACGTTACAGTTCATAGGAAAAAAATCATGTTATTTATTTAAACTGATCACGACTTTAAAAGTACCAGAACTATGCTGGAAAGAATCAAATGCACAAAACAGAATGCAAAGAGAAAAATATGACACCCTTGAATGGAAATTGCCTGAGGGTAATGGAAAGCTAGCTTATATTGATTTATGCAATTTTAAATTTTGCTTCTTTTTAAAAAATCAATTCTCCACTGTAAATGCTACAAAAACCTCATAATCTCAGCCCTCCTCACCCCCAACCACCCACAGCTCCTTCTATTTATACCATGCCATCTTAAGTAATTTATCTTGTCTTTCTTGTGTTTGTTGTCATCATATATCTTTTTTAGGGCAGTACTGGAACCTCTGTTGGACCTCCCTCCTCCTCCCCACACTCTGATGGTTGTGGTAGATGCCCTGGATGTTTACTGTATGCCTGGTGAAAGAGCTGGAAAGAATGGCTCTATAGCAGAGCTCTTGGCTACCAATCAGCATCTCCTGCCTAGCTGGTTGCTGCTGGTCTGTTCCATCCGCCGCCATAATAAAGATGTGTGCAAGAGGTTCTCAAGTATGTACATATTTGTCTTCCCTCCAAAAGGTTTCATGTATAAAAATTATTAGGTCTGACGTACATTAAATTATTGGCTCTTAGATGCTGCAGCATATTTCTGAAACAGAATCCTGCCACCATAAACAAAGCTGTGATAAGGTTTTGTCTCCATGCATTTCTCTGGCTGTTGCTTTTTTCCCACCTTAATGTTTTTGATTATTTTAAATCCAGCTTTTGATAGCAAAGATAACTATAGTAAAATCAACTTATAGTTTTTATATTTTGATTTCATGTTTTGTGAAAAAACCCACCTGGTTCTATGTGAAAGAGAGTCTACAGTCAAGTATTTGTTGAAGCTGACAATCAGTCTTACATTGCTGCTAAGGACATTTTGTCAACTTTTGAGCATAAATAGCTAGAACAGGACAATGTCTTAAAGGTATAGTGGAGGATGTTCTTTTTCTGGGTGGATCATCAAAATAAGTGGTCCTCCTAATTTTCAATCATTCTGGTGATATGTTTCCGTTAGGCCGTGCTACGTACTCATCCCCATTTTCACTTACCGGTGCTGAGTCTGGCATAGTGGAAACATTTCAAATGTTCTTTGAGAAAGTAAGCTTGTATGACAGATGCAAACAGCCATTTTAAAACAGGTTGTGCACGAGGTGAAATGGGCTCGTTCATGCTCTTGCATGCATTTAATAGGCATTCCGTCTCAGGAGCAGGTACAGGGTTGTGCATATGCATTTTAATTTTTTAAGTGGAGCCGGACTTTTAAAAATTTGTAAAAATCCTCCACTATACCCTTAAGCCTACAAAGTAATGGTTAGAAAGTCTACTTCAGCAATTTTGATAAGTCCATCAATTATGGTAGGTTACCCTGGTCCCAAAGACAGAAATAAGACAAAACCATCACATTACTAATACCACGTTTATGGTCAGTTGAATAAAGAGCATTGACCTTAACTGAGGCAAGACAAGCCCTCTAAGCTTTAGATGTTTTCTTAGGTTTTTTTGTGACACATTAGATGAGTTGACTAAGCCTTACTGGAGAAATTTGGCCAAGTAAATCTCTCCTGGTAAAGAACAACATTGTTCCGTGTTTATCCAGATATCTTAATACCTTAAGGATGTCTTGTGTGATACAAAACAAAAGTATAATAAATCTATCATTTGGTAAATGCTTTTTCACAGCAACCCTAATCCTTAATTTAAATAACTATTAATATCAGAGTTGTGGTTATTCATATATAAATAGAATTAATGAATGGGCTGAATAAAACAATTAATCAAGTTATAAAGAAAGCAAATTTCTTTTCTTTTTTTTTTTTCTTAGGCTTCCGCAGATTATGCCTGGATGATCTACGGAAACCACAAATAGTCCATGATGTTCAGCAATACATCCTCTGTCGTCTGGATGATGAAGCAGCACTGCGCCGTCAGCTCACTCCTGACACCGCAGATATGCTCAATCTCCTTCACATCAAGAGTGGGGGCTGCTTTCTCTTTCTGGAGCGTGTGCTGGATGGTGTGACAGCAGGGCTCGTGGGTCTGCGAGAGATTCGAGATATCCCTGGGACTCTTAATGGACTCTACCTTTGGCTCTGCCAGAGACTGTTCCCTCGGGGCCTCTTTGTCTATGTCAGATCCCTCCTCAATGTTCTTTTGGCTGCCCCAAGTCCACTCACAAGTCAGCAGCTATTCACAGCAGTCTGGACCCAGGACACAACACTCAGCATCCAAGACTTTCAAAGCAAACTTCGTACTCTGTCTCCCCTTTTGATTGATGGCCCTGAAAGCACCAAACTTCTTTTTCACGCTAGCTTTACAGAGTGGCTGACTGATGTAAAGTATTGCACACAGAAGTACCTCTGTGACAGGACTGAGGGCCACAGCATGCTTGCCATGTCTTTGACTCTACAAGGACCACAATTGGACCCTGAGGGCACATGTCAGTTAGCTACACACTTAGTTTGCTCAGGTCACCATAAAGAAAACCCCTCATTGTTGGCACTCTGGATGTTGTGGACAGGGCTGCCTCCTCCCACTCCCAACTGTAGGGAAACCATCTCCAAATCCATAGCTCAGCTTCCTCCTCTAGTTAGTCAGGAAGTCCCTCAGCTGTTAATGAAAAGCGGACTTCTTTCACCTAGCTGTTTTTCCAACAAGGAGGACAGGTTAGGAATGCACTGCAAAATTGAGCAAGGTGATCTATTACACACACCAGAGATGGAGGCTTCTATAGAGAAGCTGCTAGAAACGGGGGACTGTGTAAACCAGCTTGAATCTTCTGGACAGGCCTTGCTTGCAAAAGCAGCTCATGAGGGGTCAGTAAATATGACAAAATATCTCTTAGCGCATGAGTCTGATCCACTCATAAGCGATAATCATGGTCAAACTCCTCTGACTTTGGCCTCAAGGCAGGGTCATGTCAAAGTGTTGTCTGTCTTATTAGAATGGACTAAACGGCAGAATACAGAGACTGTAGTGGCAATCATGGAGCATGTTGACAATGAAGGTTGGACAGCGCTGCGTTCCGCAGCTTGGGGTGGACACTGTGAGGCTGTCCGCTTACTTCTGGATGCAGGAGCAGATGTAAATGGATGCGACAGCGAGGGCCGTACAGCCCTAAGAGCTGCTGCATGGGGTGGTCATGAGGAAATTGTCATCATCTTGCTGGAATATGGGGCACACATTAACAAAGCTGACAATAAGGGAAGAACACCACTTATTGCCGCTGCCTACATGGGGCATCATGAAACCGTAGAAATATTACTGAACAACAATGCTGATGTTAACTTAGCTGATGGAGATGGACGAACTGCACTGTCAGTTGCTGCGCTGTGCGTTCCAACAGCTGCAGCGGTCAAAAGTTATGGAGACGTAGCAACTTTGTTACTTGAACGTGGAGCCGATCCGGGCCACAGAGACAATGATGGAATGACGCCACTGCTTCTTGCAGCCTATGAAGGTCATGAAGATGTTGTTGAGCTTTTGTTGGAAGCTGGTGCTGATGTAGATGAATCTGCTGGCCCTGGTGGAAGCACTTCTGCTGCAGCTGCTGTCACACCCTTGTTGGCAGCTGCTGCAATGGGTCATATGAACACCGTGTCCAGGCTGCTCTTCTGGGGAGCAGATGTAGATGCCATTGACTGTGAAGGCAGGACAGCACTTTGCTTAGCCGCAGCAAGGGGCAGCTTGGAAGTAGTTCGTGCCCTACTGGACCGTGGGCTAGATGAGAACCACAAGGATGACCTTGGCTGGACCCCCCTGCATGCTGCTGCATGTGAAGGACACCGTGCTGTGTGTGCTGCTTTGACAGATCAAGGCAGCATGGCACGTGTAGGAGAGATGGACATTGAAGGACGGACCCCTCTTATACTGGCTGCCCAAGAAGGTCACTTGAGCACTGTCAAACTACTACTAGACAGACGTTCTCCAATCGATCACAGGGCATATGATGGACATTCAGCATTAAGTGCTGCTTTTCTAGAGGGTCATACTGATGTTGCAGAGCTGCTAATGAAGAGGGGGGCTGATACTGATGTGCGTGATGCAGAAGGCCGGCCTCTACTCTACCTCCTGGTGCTTGAACATCACCTTCATATGGCCACTCTTGTCATAGAAAAAGGAGGTGTGCCTCTCGAGTCCCGAGATTCTGAGGGCCGTACAGCTCTTCACGTGGCTTCATGGCAGGGTAGTGTAGAGATTGTTGATTTACTTTTAAAACATGGGGCAAACCCCAATGCGCAAGACACTGAGGGGAGACCACCACTGCATTCTGTGGCCTGGACAGGACATGAACAAGTAGGACATCGTCTCCTGGCAGCAAATAATGTAATCATAGACCTGGCTTGCCATCAGGGAGCAACACCTCTGAGCATTGCAGCTCAAGAAGGACATTTTAACATTGTGAAAATGCTTCTAGAAAATGGTGCAAATCCCAATCATATAGATAAATATGGACGCAGTCCAGTCAAAGTGGCTGGAAAAAATGGACATGTTACAGTTGTGCGGCTCTTAGAGAGCTATGGAGCTAAGCCATACATCAGGCTTTTGCATAATTCTAGTACTGTGTCCCCTTTAAAGCCCAACAAGATACTCTCATCTGGAATGGGCCATAGTAATGCAGTCGAAGTGACAGCCACGACCTCTTCCTCTTCAGTATCTTCTCCTAGCTCCACTGGGGACCGATTCCATTCCATACAAAGCTCCCAGACCTCATCTACCTGCCACTCACTTGCTACAGTTCAGACAGTGCCAGCTGACAGCCTCAGTTTTATCCAGCAGATCCAACAGCATTCCCTGCCACGCAGCAGGAGCCGACCCTCCACCCTCCCTCCACCAGGGAGCTCAGTCATGGTAAGCCTCCATGCAAGCAGTCAAAGGAATCCAAAATGCATCCCTCCAACTGTTTGCACAGTTACAGCTATGGTACACAACTTTGAACCACCTCCCAAAGGTTTGTCCTCTGGGCTTGAGTACAATGACCAAAAAAATAAACTAGCCTCAAACTTGATTAAAGCAGAAAAGGCTTCAGGCGGTAAATGGAACTCAGTCATGGCTTCTCTTGGTATAATGCCCAGCCAGGACAGCCCCCTCCTTGCCAAGAACAGAGACATGCCTTCTTCGGACTATCCATACAGGCTACAAAGCTCATCACAAGCAGGAGCTTGGGATTCCCTAACCCAGAATATTTTATCACCTGCTTGTTACAGTTTTACCCCCTCCTCACCTCGCAGTGCCTTAACAGATGATCTAATGGTCACTACTAATCCACACCTTAATCTTAAACAGGCCATCAAACTACAGTTTGAGGGCCCCACCAGTGCAGCCTTACACAAGAGAGAGACACCGCTCTAACCAGGCAGTGGGCCATTAAAGTTTGGTCTTTTTTCATAAACATATAGGAATTTGTTTTCTGTAGGTATGGGGTCAATAGTTGAAATTGTATATTTAATTATTTCAGGTGAAGTTATTTTGTAAATCAGATACTTTTATCTAAATGTATTGCATTCTGATACAGTAGGAGATAAGATGAGAATGAGACATTTTTCTACATTCTTCACAGAATTTGGAAAATACCAAGCTGTTAAAAAAAAAGCCTGCTCATTTTTCCAACTTTGATTGTAAAGATTTTTTTTATTTCCAAACTGTCACGACTAACTGTTTTTGTATTTTTACTTGAAAACGCTTTGAGTTTTTAGTTTACTTAATTTATTTTCTCCTTCAAAACTGAAAACTCTTAATTTAAAAAGGGTTTAGCTTTTAGACTTGATTTGTCTTCAAAGAAGTTTATATTTTTCTGGACCTAGCCTGCATCCTTCATTAGTGTTGCACACCTTACAATAAAAATACAATAAAAGTATCCCTGCCAAAGCTTGCCCTTATGTGAGCCTCTGATTCAGAGCTGAGACAGGCAAATCGAAGGACTACAGCCCAGTCAGATAATTCTAGGTTTGAACGTGGGAGGATTGTTGCCTAATCTTTATGTTGCTTGAAGACATTTTTGTTCTGATCCTTATTTTTTACTTTTAATATTAATTACATTTGTAATAAAAAATTTTGTCAGTGCTTTAAAGTCTTTTATTTGTGGCCAGCTTGTTTGTTTTGTAGGAACTGTATCTGTGTTCTGCACTCAAACTAAATGTCATAGGTAGCTTCTGAAGTCGTAGCATCAAGCAGAGATGAAAGTCTGGCAGGGGGCAGATGGCGCCCAACTAGGAAAATATAAATATGTTTCTGAGCCGTTATGATACCATAGAGGGGGGATTTTCACACGTATTAGTGATTGTTCTCTATATACCTCTTTATTAACATTTAAAATAAAGCATTTATTAAAGGCTTAGTCAGGTATTAAATTATTTCAGTTCTAGAAAACTCAAAAATCACCATCTCATACCAATAAATACATTTTTGATTCCTGCACTTTCATGCAACCATCGGCTGTCCAAGTATAACTGACAACCTTCACAACGAATGTTATCCACAGAACGCCATTATTGGTCTGTTATGCAATGCTGTATGCAAGCCTAATAAATTAGATTTAGACAGATTTTATTTTGTACACAAGTGTAAACAAAAAGTAAATTTTATTAAGTAGAGCTCTCTATAGACTATTTGATTTTTCAAAGTGCAGGTAAGCAGCAGTGATGAAAACATTGTGATGAAAAAAAAAGTGATGTAAACATATGACTGTATAGTTACAGTTCCAACATTCAGGGTTTTTTTGTGTGTGTGTGTGTGTTTTTTTTTAAATAATATATTTTACATAACATTCAGCAGTCTAATCTGCTGGACCTGCATCAGATTCCAGAGGGCAGCAGGGAGAAATGTCCATGTTGGGGATGTGAGGGGCTACAGGCTTGGGACACGCAGCGCTGGGATGAAATGCCTTTAATGGATGGAAGAGGAGCTCTTTATTCCATTATTATTGCATAATATTGCATCCAACTCTTTATAATAAATAGTTGGATGTAAACATACTGTGAAAATCGCAGAGAAGTCTGTGTCAGCTTCTTCGACTAATTTAGTGATACAATTAAGGAAATCGAATAAATATAAATGGTGAAAAATGTTCATATGTAGGAGTTTGAACAGATCATGTTCAGGGTGTGTTGGGTCTGTAGGGATGTCTGCTGCCTATTTCCTGACTCTAGACCTGTATAAGTCACAGATAAAGGGAAGATCAGCATGCATTATCTCTGATGCTGAGAGAATCGCATCCTTGAAAGAATTATGAAAGTTTTACAGGAACTGTGGCCGGAGTCAGAGCATTAAGAACTACCGCACATAAACTTATCCATGGGCCAGTAATGAACTAGAGAAACTTAGACGCATCTCCCCCGAGTTACAGAGGAACAAGTCAGACTGTTATTCAAAGTTTGTCATTTTTTAACAACTTTGGATGATCAAAATGATCAAGATTCTGGAAGAAGAGTAAAGATATAATAAGTGTAGGTTCAGTTAGAAATTTCTATCGTTTCTGTTGATTTGGAGAGACATGTCTACTGATGGACTTGTTCCACTGTGCCTTCTGTCATAATGCTTTAAGAGCAGCATAGGCTTCCATTTGCTAAAAAGGTTTATGGAGATGCTGATTTGCTTTTCCCAGAGGACTTGGTACAGTACCTGCCAACACTGCCCAAAATACTGATAGCTGCGTTAATGACCATTGAATCACTGTTTTATGGCCAGGCACTGGCTTGCCCTAAATGCCTAAAAGGATGGGGGTATTATCAAGATAAAGAGGAAAAACTTTATCCAAAAGCTTAGCAAACCCGACAACCATTTTTTAAGCAAAACTAATGACTGATCCACTCTCTGGGACAATGCATTTATACAATACTTCATGCAAAATGAGGCCAAATGAATATTGAGTGCACAATCATGCACTCAAAAGGCTTAAAAGTTTCTATTAAGAATCCACTTTCATTGGTCCTATGAAATATTCATATTTCGAAAGACTTAAATCTGTGTATTAATTAACTCCAAGCTATAATCATAAAACATTATCAAATTAACACTTGAAGTATAAAACTTTGTCTACTGAATCTTAATGAGATATGAGTTTTACATTTTTAATTGAACTAAAATAAACGTCTTAGTAATATTTACAGCACACATAGCTGCAGGGTATTAGTATTGATATCAGGAATTAAATGTGGAATTAAACCTGGTCTTTCTGTCTGACCCTGTCATCGATGAGCTGTTTCTCTTTCCCAGCGTGTGACAGGCTTACGTGTATCAGAATAAACTTGCAACACCACCTGTAGAGGAGAACGAAACCCCAGAAGCTTTGTTGGATACATATTTGAGATGTCTTTCTCTCTTATTCAGAACAGATCGCTTCCTCCAGTCCTCCCTAATGCTATGTTTCGTCTCTGTTTGCTATCCCTTAACAGAATCCTATTTTTCCTTCAGATGAAGGGGAACAGCTGATTTTTGACCTCAGGAGCAGGTCTGCTGACATCATGCTTTTTAATTTGGAAGTGTTAATATTTTTAATTAGTTTATATTAAGAACTGAGTACTTTTGTTTGAACGTTACACACCCAGCTTTAGCTTTGTGTGTTTTAGTACTTGGATGAACCAGTTTCTGTTGATGCTGACTTTGAAGTATACCCAAACAAGTTTTATTAACATCTTTGACATTTCCGCCACAATGCGAATTACCATATTTTTGTCGATGTTCATATGTTTGATCTAATATTGTATTTTTCCATATTCTTTTGCTTTGGTGACAACCAAAATATTAAAATTGCCTTTTTGCTCTCAAAAGCATCTAGGGGAAAACGTAAATAATCCACGATGCCATAAAGAGTCTCCTCTTAGCTCAAGTTGCCACTTATATCAAATATAAATTGTGACATGGATTAAAAGTTTTCATTTTGCTGACAATGTTTTCTCAGTTTGTTACTAACATCAATTTTTCTGTATAAAAACAAGGAACTAAATAAAAGGGAATTATGACAAAACTGTTTTTTCATGAAAATTGGACGTCAATTAAGTCAGCTCTGGGTCTCTGCATGTCCTCCATAGTAGCCATAAGCCTCTGAATGAATGCTTTCATTGACATGCTGCTCAGATTTATGTATTTCAGTTTTTTTTTTGCATCTTCTGAATGCAAATGCATGCCAAACTTTTCAGACTTTTATGTGTAATAAAAAAGGCGTAATTTTCAAATCACAATAAGCATTTTTTTGTAGGTCTTTCAAATCAAACACCCAGAGAAATATGTTACTTTAATAATAAGTCTGTTAATACACAGTGACATGTGAAAAAGTCATGGAGGTAAGTATACATTGCAAGTTAGTGGGTCATTTGAGGGCAGATTACACAACGTAGTCATATAAAGTAATTGCATCGTTTCCTGTCTATCATTATTTTCTAGCCCGTGTCCAGTGTGTCCGTTGCTGTGTTGAGTCATGGACCGACTGCTGCACTGTAAATAAATATAACAAGCTGTCTACAGAAATGGGTGAAGAAATCAAGGGAGAAAAGCCAGGAAGAGGAAAGCTCGATGACAGGACAGACAACAGAGGCTGGAATCAGAGAGACTGGGGAATTTTAAACAATAGAAAAAACAGGATAGATCATCAGCCAGGAAGCACCTGACAGGGAAATAGGTGGAGCTGAAAAAAAGGGGTGAGGTGGGGGGCAGGAAGATGCAGCTTAAGCAGAACAGACTGGAAATATCAATCTACACATAAAGCCCTGAGTTCACTTTAGGGGATATGCCTCTTTAGTAACATCTAGTGGCAATGACAGAAAAACATACATTTACAGTATACCACAACCAGCCTAAACTCAGCTGGAGCCGAGCGTTACTGAGTAAAGTCTGAAGTTACAAATAACCAGATTGACAAAATATATTTTTGCTATAAAATGGAATCCATTTCAAAAAGGTTTGTGTACGTATATGCTAACTACCAAGCTGAATCATTTTAAAAAAAATTTTAAGCATGTTGGAACAAAAATGCTGTTTTTTTAAGCTTTTTGTTTTGCTGCAGAGATAGCTTGGTGCTTTTCAAGAGGGACTAAAATGTTTAGTAGGAGACTTTAAATAACTTATATATTTAGTGTTCTATGCAGCTAAATGTGGCTGCAGTGACCCTGCTGTAGTTAAGGTTGTACAGATATAAATATGTATTCAGACATAGGGACGCATGTTGACATATTTCAGTGCCACATAAAAATAAACATAACCTCAATAAATTCTGAAAAACATTGAGACACTGTTTGACTTAGAACCACATAACCACACTTAAGTAATAAAAAAACAGCAAACAAAAAACAATTCAAGCCAACAACTAGCATCTGTATGAGAAAGTAAACTCCCCTGAAATTTAACCTGTTGTTTTAGCCTTGGCTCATTTGTGGTGGAGTTTAAGACAACTCACCTTTATCAATTTTTCTTTTGTTTTTAATTCAGCAATTTTTTTTTCTGTCCTAAAGCAACAAAGCAGCCAAGATCATTAGACTACCACCACCATGTGTGGCTGTTATGTTGGTCTGTTTCAGAAGTGTGAGAGGAACCATTGTGTTCTTTGTGGTCAGCGGCATTTTCTGCCTTAGAACCATTTATCCATGCTAGTTTAGCTCAGATTTGCCTTTATTATGAATGTTTACATACAATGAAATATGTTAACCCCACAATGACTTAGCTATTTCTTGGAGTTTTTAAGCAATCTTCTGGATTAATCAGGGATCTATTCTCTGAATACTTTTGGTGAACCATCAATTTCTGGGAGGGTGTCCCACAATTTCTCTATTTGTGAACACGTTACTTCCAATTTGGATCACTAAAGTCCAAAAATCCTGATTGAAAGACTGATTGAGTGACTGTATTCCTTTTTTTATTTTTCAGTTGTGCTACAAAGAGTACTACAGCGCAAAAACAAACAGATTAACACAAAAACACCAACAGTAAAACACCTCTAAAGAAAAATGCTGCAAGGAATAATAATTGATGTCACGAAGGAGTGCAAATATGCAGCAAATACATAAATGATGCTGACATACAGAACACATGCAAAGGGAAATGAAAATATAGCAAGCAGAAAAAAACAAGTGAGAGTTAAAGAAAAGCTACAAACTAGCTCGGCATAACTTCAATGATGAAGACCTCTGAGGGGAGACAATTATATCTCATATAGCACCAGAACCTTTATCAAAGACAAACTGTCCTCTGAATGGCATCCTGTTTATATTCTTGCATTGGATCTGAAATTATATTTGCCTAGTAGTAAAATATGTATGATCATTTAAAACACAATCGGTCAGAACGTCTAAAACATTAGGTGTTATAAAGAGAGAGACACAGGAAAAATCTTATAGATAGATAGATAGATAGATAGATAGATAGATAGATAGATAGATAGATAGATAGATAGATAGATAGATAGATAGATAGATAGATAGATAGATAGATAGATAGATAGATAGATAGATAGATAGATAGATAGATAGATAGATAGATAGATAACTGACCCTTAGAAAGAATCAAATAAGGAGGTCAAAGTCCCCCTAAATGAAATAATTCATTAACATAATAAAGAGCACAAACTGAGGATGCGGCCGATTCATGATGATGTATTCTGATAATCCTAACCAAGGATTTACCTAATGCTGTGATTATACTTTATCTGACTTTTATAATGGTGCTGATTCTTTTGCAACTCTTTTCTATGTCACCAAATGTTGGTACATTGAATGACCAGAACAAAATAATGACTCCTTTTAAAACAACATTTTATTTTTTTTAAAGTTTGCAACAGATATGCATTCAAAAGGCATCCACAGGTAATGGTAACAGACTATTTAGATACCGATGAACAGCTGTGCAAGGAATGAGGAGGCGTTTGGTGTGGGGAGGGGTTGCTTTATGGTGTGAGTCTCTCAGATTCACTGTGTTTTTCAAATCCTTATGATACACATTACTTGGCAACAGATACAAATGAGTGGGAGTCTAGTGGGATGTACTATAAAAAAAAAAAACGAATCATTCGGAGTTTACTGCAGGATTTAACTTTACTTTTCCAATTTACATAATTAAGATTTTCTTATCTAATAACAATTTAGATTGAACAGTAATTTGTAAATATTCTGGTAAAAAAAAAAACATATTTCAAATATAATTGTGCTGTAAAGCAATTACCATAAAAAAAGCCAAACTATCTTTTACCCATTCTATAATTGTTTGGATTTCAGGTATATCTTTTAACATGAGTTCTTAATGGTCCTGGAGATGAGATCTAATAATTTAAAAATAAACTAAACTCATCTATCAAAGGTAGTGAATAAAGGCCTCAATTAGAAAAAGAAAGTCAATGAAGAGATTATTTTAGGTGAAATTCTTTATTGGTTTTAGGTTGTAAAAACATTAAGGCTGTAAAAGTTTCCAAAGTGCATAGACTCTTACAATATAAGCTTTTCTTCCAAAATCGTATCTGAGCTACAGTGAAAAATGAGAGGTTTCAGTGCAAAAAATAGAATGAAAGTATAGCAAAAACACAAGATTTAAAATTCAGAATGCACTATTGACAAGATCTAATCTGGGCAAGGCATGTTTATTTATATAACACATCACTACAAACACAATTCAAACTGTTTTACATGAAGTAAAAAATAAAACGGAAGGAAAATACTGTAGAAGCAAAGATAAAACAAGTAACTATACAATTCACATTACAAAAGAAAGAAAAAAGTCAACCAAGCCTATTCAACCAATTTAGATTTGACTTTTTTTTCCATTTATTTCAGATTTGCAATTTGATAGTTGTAATCTTAAAAAAGGTATTATGCACATTTTTACCTATTTAAATTTAAAAGCTACTTATCAAATAAACAGCAGACATTCTAATTAATAAAAAAAATAATAAACATTACGTATAATTCAGGATAAGGTTAATACTTGCTATTGAGTATAACCAGCCTTTTAGGTGTGAGTGTGTGTGTGAAGTGTTGTTTGTTCTGTTTGTCTCTTTGTTGTCATGCGATAGTCTTGCGACCTTTCCAGGTTGTACCCTGCCTCTCGCTCATTGGTGGCTGGAAGCACCAGCACCCCTCAAGAACGGAAAATGGATGGATGGATAGTTATCATAGATTAAGACATTTGAAAGTTCTGACCAGTAGTTCCCACAGGCGCACCACATTCTCCTGGTCACTTTCCTCCTGTGGTTCTGACATTTGAGGATGATCGTATTACAGCTGAAACACCATTAACTAAATAATGTAGCAGTTTATCTATTGCATTGGCTCTCCCTTCATGTCCCTTTCGGACTTTACTCACTCATTCACACACATTTCACTGCAACACAAGACAACTCTTTTCTTGATATATATATATATATATATATATATATATTAATATATATATATATATATATATATATATATATATATTTTTTTTTTTTTTTTTTTTAAAGGATGTTCAACTTCACAATAACAAGAAGAAAAAAAAATTGGTTTAAACGAACAGCTTATTAAGAAATACTTTTACCAATAAATACAGGAAAACAAATATTTCAATTCAACCTAAAAAAATACTCAAACTCAATATAGAAAACACCATACATCAGATCCACCTCCCCCCCTTCAATTATTCAATGGTGCAGTCCTGTACACACCTGCCTGGTGAGTGAAACAGCAAAGGTGTGTATTTCACAATATTTGAACTCTATAATCCATGAATTTCCATTTTATGAAGAGTAAAAAAAAAAAAAAATATTGTAAAGTGAAATCAATTTACCTTTTTACAAAAATGAAAACAAGATGTGGCCAAGCAAAGAACCACAACCCAAACAAATCCACTTCACCCAAAACAAAAAGAAACCAATGTAGAAAACCAGATGCTGTGTTTAACTGCTACTTTGGCCAATATACAGGTAACAACGCCTCATTGTTACAATATATATATATATATATATATATATATATATATATATATATATATATATATATATAATTGAACTACTATATTTGAACTATAATTGAACAAACATAATATAAGCTATAATCTTGAGCCAAACTGTTGATGTGCTGTGTGAATAAATAAATAAAAACTGTGATTTTCAGGACGATTTTCCAGTCGTGTGAGAATCTTTCGATCGAGCCGACTTTCGGCCAGATCGAACACAGCAGCGTGGCAGGGATGCAATGAGTGAAATGCCGTTCTGTCTGTAAAATTGACAGACCGTAGTAGCCATGTTTGCTCAGCCATGTCTTTTTTCCAAATACTTCGTCCCCTTTTCTTTTTACGGCTTTCAGCACTAAATTGCACAAATTGCCAAGGCAGAGCGTTTCACTCCAGTGAGCTTCATATTCCCCTTCTATTTGTTTGGCTTCCGGATAGACAAGTCCAAGTAGAGAACATAAATCGTGAGCTGTGAAATTTCTTACCGTCTTTGAAATAAAATTGTAAAGAAAAAACCCACAGTTTGAGCTGCAATTCTGATGCAGTTAAAAAGCTTCAGTAATTTTGAAACACATAGATTATTCGAAATTACTGTGAATCTCAGCACAAAGTATGGGGAAATGATGCCTCGCTCTCAGCAGTTGCATGACTGGAGCGCTCTCGAAACACTCCTCAATGCCACACCTGCTTCAAAAAGGTCAAAGCTGTGTCGAGCAGACTGACTCGAGCCCAACATCACTAGATTGCACTATTCTAATTATGGTAAACAGCTAATTATACTGATCATCCTTCTAGATGAATCAAACCGAATTTCATATCAGCAGTAATGTGAACTGTATTTATCACATAATATACACTTTTAAGATGTGATTAAGTTAATCATCACCACAGAGTTTGCTCAACACTTTCCTAGAAGATCAACAGTATATTTAGACATGTGACCCTTTATACTTGTAAATCTTGATGCAATGATGCATGCTATCAGACACTGCCAGTTGCCCATCCGGTAACAGGGTCAGACCACGGGGGCTACTCAAGCCCTGCGTTATGATGGGCCAGCCGATGCCTTGAGCAGGGTACAATACCACTCTGTGCTCTTCTCCCCAGTCTGCAACTAGGATATTGCTTTCTTTATCTATGCATATGCCCCAGGGACATGTAAGGACCGGTCCCATACCAGCACATACACCAAGAACTCTCACTGTGTTCCAACCTGGCTCCAGAACTTTGATGCAGGGTACACGTCCTGTTTCATTGCCCCTTTCGGACACCGCTACTATACCTGAGCTCAAACAGGCTGCTACCAAGTAAGGCCTGTGGAATCCGGTCACTACTGTGCGTTCAAGCCTGCAGCCGGTTTTAGGGTCAAGCTTCAAGGCAATAAGATTGCCTTTTTTGATATCAGCAACCAAAAATTCATCCAGTCTGGTTACAGTCACCCCTCTTGGAGCTTCCAGTTCATCTTTTGCAGAGCCTAACCCTGATCCTCCAAAAATCTCAAGAAGACGACCATGGCGGCTGAACACAAGCAAAGCTCTTTCTGCAGCACAGCTTAAGGCAATCAGACCTTTGCTATTGACAGCAATGTCGAAGTAGTTTCGACATCGTCTGGAGGAGCCACTGATGTTTGGAGAAGTCACTTGCTGAAGAACATTCCCCTGACGATCAGTCACCTATTTAAAAATTTAAGTTAGTTTAATCTAAAAAAGAAGATATATGTAGGCTTTAGATGTTAGAAAGAATACAAACCTGGACACGTGCATTTCCACAGTCAACTACAAAGAGTTGCCCATGTGGTGTGGCGTGGATACCACTTGGTAGTGTAAGGTCAGATCGGCCAGAACCCTGTCTCCCAAACTGCCCCGTGAGATGAGCACCACTTGCCTTGAGCGCTGTTAATGATGGATCAACCTCCTCTTCCAACTCCATGAGGGCATGCTCTTCACCTTCCCCTCTAATTCTCTTTTGCTCTTGACAGGACCCATCTATGAATGACATGGACAATGACCTAACAACAGGGACTTCTTGTAATCTAGTTGTTGTGGGAATTTGCTTTGACTGTGGCAGTATGTTGTGTTCTGCAGAGTTAGGATATTGAGGGATCTGACCCCTTTCAAAGACTCTGAATCCTCTGCTTAGAGTGTTGTTATAGTTGCCACTCTTAACTCTGGACACCCGTTGCTTATTTGCACCGGTACTAATCCATGGCCTTGTCTTATGTGTTAGGTCTACTGCTGATTTGGAAAGATGAAAACTTTTATTCAAAGAGCCTTTGCTCAAACTGAAGTCACGTGATGGGCTAACAATAAAGGTATAGCTGGAGTCAAGGCTATCTGCTGGAGATGGTGCACGACCAGAGTCACCAAGCGTCCCCTGAGAGTGTTCATCAGAAGACTGGCTTTGACGAGAGTAAGTTCTTGCTTTGGAAGTAATATCTAGACAGCTTTGACTGACAAAAGTCATCTTCTGAGATGAAAGTGTACAGCTACCATGATGCCAAGGTCTACAACTAGAGTCATGACTCCCTTTTCCTTTATCTCCATCTATGTTACGTTGACTTGAGTATCCAGTCACCTTAGCAGACTCGCATTTTCTTTCAGGGGAAGGGGATGGTTTTCTGCTGGCAGCCAAAGAAGTCATCTTTTTCTGATTACTGGGTGAGAAATAATCGCCATCAATGGTCATACTGTGTACTGTGCTCTTTACTTTGATCTCCTTATTTTCAAGAGCAGAAGAGACAGCCAGAGAACTTGTACCCATATCATCAACTTGGGATGTTTCCCATTCAAACTGTTCACACTTAGGAAGCCATTGGTGTATTTTTGCAGAAGAGAGCTTTTGTTCCTCTGTTTGCAGATCACTACAGTTTGAGAGGTTAATCCTTCTGATCACCCTGCCTGTTGGTGATGTCCAACCCTGACCTTGCATGTTTTTTTCTCCTATATGAATTTGATGATGAGTGTCTTCACAATGGATCTCCTGTGAATGTAGAGCACACAACTTCCCATCTGGCCCACAGCCTCCAACATTGAGACACATATCTTGCTGCTGCACTTGAATGTCTCCAAAGGTTACTGCGTTAGGTTGGGAACTTGGTTTGAAGTTCACTCTCTTAAGTGAAACAGAGATTTCCCAGGGTTGTAGAAACTCTAAAATCTCTTTTAGTAAGGGGTTTTGAATTGGTCCATTTTCAGATTGAACAGACTGACCTTCTGTTTGGAGTCGTTGTTGAAGCTGAACCAGATTATCAAGCCTTTGCTCTAATAGAGACTGGCTGACCCTTGCGGCTGCTATATTTTCCCTCTGGATTTGCTCCAAACGCTGCTGAGTGTCCCGATGGTCCTGCTCGACTCTCTCCAACAGGCGCTTCTCCTCCCTACGCACTCCAAGAATCGCCCGTTCTACACCCCGGTTAACTGTTTCAATCTCACTGGCATGACGAACCTGTATCTGATGTAAATCTTCCACTGCCTGGACGAGGTCATTCTGAGCCTGAGTTGCCCAGCAGGGAAGCATGTTATGTGAAAGAAAAGATAAAGTGTGATCTGATCCAGAATCCGAACTTCTAGGGTCTGGAATGTCTTCTTGGACAGGGGAGGTTGAACTACTCTCAGGAGGTGTTCCCAAAAACATCTTGAATGGATGAATCCTTACTTTTTCAGTCTTGGTTTTCAGTATCTATAAATAGAACATAAATAAACAGATGAATAGTTATTAAACAAGAATTGATGTTACAGTAATCTGCATACAGAACCTTGCCTTTTGTTCTACTACCATAGAACTGCAAAACCTTTCCCATTATCTACAGGTAACTCTGCCCGATATGCAATTTAACTCTGCCCGATACACACCAATCCTATGGTGCCAACCTGGATAACTGGGGGGGGATCCCACTCTAGATTACCGACGTCTCAGTAAAATTAAGTACCTTCTGGTGGCACCTACAACCTTCCTCTCAGTCTTAGAGAGAGCCTCACGTTCCTATGCAAGGTCTTTTGGTTCACAGGTGGAAAAAAAACCTGAACTGCCTTTCTGCTCCCCAAAAAGAAAAGTTATCTTTTATTTTGTCTTTAACATTTTTGTTTATTGCAACATTAAAAGAACCTTATTTTCTTCAAAAATTTCTCCTTGGGCAGTTGACAATTCCCCAGAAACCTTGCCTTTTGTTCTACTACGATAGAACTGCAAAACCTTTCCCATTATCTACAGGTAATTTAACTCTGCCCGATATGCAATTTAACTCTGCCCGATACACACCAATCCTATGGTGCCAACCTGGATAACTGGGGGGGATCTCACTCTAGATTACCGACGTCTCAGTAAAATTAAATGCCTTCTGGTGGCACCTACAACCATTAGTCAGGCATAACATTACGACCTATGGACATGTTGACTTGTATGTAGCTATGCAGTTTTACATCCTATAAACTGAGGTTTCTGACACTTTTCTGTTCTAAACTTACTCTAAACTTTGTGGCTGCTATTTCTCTTGCTAGTAACCTCTATTTTAGGACCAGGTTCTCACTTGCAGCCCTATAAAATCTACCTAAAAAACAGATACCTAGATGAAGAGATAATAATGTTTATTCTCTTCACTTGCTTAGTGTATGAATGTCAATTACTTTCTTTTGTTTGTCAATCATCCAACCCCGCTACATCTGAGGGAAGATCAGTAATCCTGGAATTAAATACTCCTATTAAAAAGGAAGCAAATACATTTAGACATTTACTTGTGGTGAACTTTTTCTCAGTATTCTAAGATGATTGTAATATGACAGGGGGTTTAGTTTACCAACAGTTAATAGGGCACTAATAAACAGAAAGTCAAGCAAACAAAACAGTTGCTTATTATATTTTAAAGCCATTTGCAGTCAGCATTTCTTATTCTGTCCTTGGGTTCTGTGTACCTGATTTTAGATTTAGAGTAATATAAAACTTGGTTATACTTCACAACTTTTATATGAAGACAGGGTGGGTTTTTCTTTTAAAACCGTGTATTCTTAGAATGCTTCGGGTAGAAGACAGCTCAAGAAAAGGTTTTGAGTCAAACACAAAAAAACAATGTTCTGCTAATATTTAAAGCCATGATAGACAAGAAAAAGAATCTAAAGAGGCAAGTAGGGTCTGAATGTCAGCACAACTTCTCAGCTTCCCAGTGGTGTTGAGTTTAGATTTTCCTTTGATATTTTATTCATGATGTGAACCAAGTGAACTAGAGAAGTAGACAAAGACGCCGGTCTTATAATAAAACCCATACGAATATTGCTACCTACAAAGGATAGGAAAATGTTTCAGGTATGATTCCATATTTAAACTTTTCTTACACTTTTTTCCATTTTTCCTGCATGTCATTGAAAAAAACATGCTATATTTGTCTAAATGTTAGAACATGAAACACTATTACTGTAACATCAATTCCAGTCTTGTCCTTGAAATACTGTAAGTCCTGTTCATGAAACTTTTAACAGCAGAAGTGTGTTAAGATGCAAGCATTGTTGGCGTCCGGATGCAGTACTTTTCTTCTGACATCCCCATTTAATTTTTCACCAATTATAAACATATACTTCATGAGTTCCCCCAAATGCTTGTTTTCTGCTTTTATTAGAAAATAGGATGCGCTGGTCAGGAATGGCTTTGTCCACCCAAAGCCACCCATTTGGCTGCCCCTATTTGCCTTCTCTGCCAGCAATTTAATTCAATTCATTTTATTAATATAGCGCCAATTCACAACACATGTCATCTCACTGTAATTTCCCTCTGGGATTATTAAAGTATGTCTGATTCTGATTCTGTAGGCAGTTTATAATTCAACCAGATCATACAGTCAAACTGATTCGATGTTTTCTATCTAAGGAAAACCAAATGATTGCATTGACTCATTGGGCCGGATCTATCAAAGGTTTTCGTGTATAAAAACGTGAGCTATTTCACTGCGCACGCTAAAAAATGTACAAACTGATCTATCAACAGCGCGCTAAAAGGGTTTGGTCTTTAAAACGTGCTAAATAGCGTCTCTTATCCATTTAGTACTTTTTCTGCAATGAATATGCAATTTTTTGCGTCCCACAAGACGCAAAAGTGCGTCTTGTGGGAGGAGAACATGTAAATATATTAATTTAGCACTCGCAAAGTGATTTATTAAACCTGAAAGCAATTTTGCTAACGGTATCTGACTATATTTAACACGTTTCAAAAGAAGGTGCAAATGGTCTGTATGCGTAATTGCGCACACATGGCAGCGGTTATTGTCGCAAGAAGGAGACATCGAAATGAGGCAAGGAGACGCAGAGAACGCATTTTTTCACTCCGTGTGAATATTTTTGGAATTAACGAGGAAACGATCATCAAAACATATCGTTTATCCAGCATTGCCATTTTGGAGCTGTTGGGGGAACTCCGAATGGATTTGGAGCCAGCCACAAGGACGACCCACGCAATACCAGATATCACAAAACTCAGTGCAACATTGCACTTTTTTGCATCTGGGTCATTCCAGCGTACGGTTGCAGCGAGAGCTGGGATCTCCCAATCTCGTTTTCCAGAAGTGCTGTCCGACATTCTAAATGCCATGTCGCCCTGACGCCCTAACGGAGAACCCGTTTTTTTTTTTTTTTTTTTTGGAGGGGGTGGGGGTGTCACTGTAAGATTAAAATTTCTTAATGCACTAGTTTGCACGAACTACAAACTACTTTGCCGCAAACCACAAAACGCGCAAAACCATAATTTAAATAGGGCGTCTCCAACAGTTTTGCACCTGCCACCAGTTACGCAATCGCTCTTGTTAAATCACCCGCAAACCATGGTTCAGCCCCTCGCGCAAAATTCCAGTTTGCGAGCGCAAATTACTGCACGCAAAATTGGATATTGATAAATCCGGCCCATTGACTCGAAAGCAATCCCTCACTCTAAGCATGCTTGTAGCAACAGTGCAGAGGAAAAACTCCCTTTTAACAGGAGGAGACAGAAGCAGACATACAGAAAGAAGCAGAGATACAAAAGGGCAACTGTAAACCAGCTACACAGGTGGCCCCCATCAAGAAAACACACAGCATTGCAGCCGAGGCCAGTTCCCATGTCAGAAGATGAAAGTGAGCAAATCCAGTTAGTCAATGTAAACTAATCAGGACTACACTGAAAAAAGGCCAAGCTCCAACATCAACAAAGGTGTTGATGGCAGCAGCACGGTCGACATTTCTCTCCAGGATGGTGTCAGAGCCAAACAGTAACAGACCAGATGAAACTATTATGAGAAAAAGCAAAGAGAGCATAATGATAGAAACTGAACTAACACATTCTACAGAATGTGAGAATAGAGATAGAATGAAAAAGAATGATGAAAAAGAGTCCCTATGTCTTCCAGCAGTCCATGCATATAGCAGTATACCAATAGAGATAGCTCAGGATAACCTGACCCATTCTAACTATAAGCTTTATCAAAAGGGAAAGTTTTAAGCCTAGCCTTAAAATTAGACAGGGTGTCTGCTTCACACACTTAAACTGGTAGTTGGTTCCACAGGAGAGGAGCTTGATAACTAAAAGATCTGCCTCCTCTTCGACTTTTAGAAATTCTAGGAACCACTAGTAAACCTGCAGATTGAGAGCGAAGTGCTCTGTTAGGGACAAAAGGAACAATCAGATCTCAAGAATTTACATGTGAGGAGGAGGATTTTAAAATCTATTCTGGATTTAATAGAAGCTAATTAGAAGTGTGCATGCACAGCAAGAGATTGTGTGTTGGAGTTAGACTGGAATTTGGGACAATCAATGGATAAGATAATCCCCCAGAATTCTAAGCCAAAAGAAGATTGGCCTCTATACCTTTAATGAAGACAGCATACATGTGAAAATATGTCAATATGTTTGCTAGTAAGGGCTTTAGGAAAATATACTCTATCCTAAATTATATATCAAGAATATATGACTGTAGTTAATTTCCAGTTGGTACAGTGAGACTATTGTGGATTGACCCTTAGCTGGTTCTGGAACCTATACTTGTGCTGGTTCTGCCATTAGTACAGCAGCAGTTTGTCTAAATTACTCTAAAGTACAAAATAAATTCATATCATTATTACGTCATTGCTGTGTTTACATAGAAGTCATGTTCATTTTGTAGCAGTGAAACATATGTGCAATATGTATTGGCTATAATATATGGATACTTGTCCAAGACTTGTGATGTTCATGTTCATTTTTTTTTATGTGTTTAACAGATCACTGGTAAGCATAGTCTAGCTGCTACAAAATGTAATGCCTAGAGGGTGGTCCACTATAGTATAGTATAGTATAGTATAGTATAGTATAGGATAGTATAGTATAGTATAGTATAGTATAGTATAGTATAGTATAGTATAGTATAGTATAGTATAGTATAGTATAGTATAGTATAGTATAGTATAGTATAGTATAGTATAGTATAATTCAATTCAATTCAATTCAGTTTATTTATATAGCGCCAAATTCACAACACATGTCATCTCAAGGCACTTTACAGTTCAACCAGATCATACAGTTAAATTGATACAAAGTTTTCTATCTAAGGAAAACCAGTTGATTGCATTGACTCATTGACTCAAATACAATCCCCCACACTAAGCATGCTTGTAGCGACAGTGGAGAGGAAAAACTCCCTTTTAACAGGAAGAAACCTCCAGCAGAACCAGGCTCAGTGTGAGCGGCCATCTGCCGAGGCCGACTGGGGTTCAAGGAGACAGAAGCAGAAATACAAAAAGCAGCTGTAAAAGGCGGCCCCGTCCAGGAAACACACAGCCAGGCAGACGAGCTCCAAGGCAGCTCCCATGCCAGTATAGTATAGTATAGTATAGTATAGTATAGTATAGTATAGTATAGTATAGTATAGTATAGTATAGTATAGTATAGTATAGTATAGTATAGTATAGTATAGTATAGTATAGTATAGTATAGTATAGTATAGTATAGTAAACTGACAGTAGCAGAGAGTAACTTTGACACAAAGAAGTTTAAAATAAAATAACGTCAATTAACAAAACCTAGATTAGCATCTAGAACTTTTCTCTGTAGGTTGGCTTTTGCTTGACCTTCTAGAGACAAAAATTTTATGTTAAGCTGTGACAATTGTATATCTAAAGCTCTTGTAATAAAGATAAAAAAAAGTCAATCTGTTATTAACCTTAAATATTAAGATTTTTTGTTGCAGAAAAAATTCTATCAAATACTTTGCAATATATTTTGGGGTCTTTGTGCTCTGTTTAATTGTGGGGTGGATCTTGGCACAGGTTGACTATAGATTATTAATGTTAGACAGCAACAGGAGTAACTGAGTCACTGGGTCAACACTAGTCCTTTCTTTTCAGGTTCTTGCTCATATTACAAAAACTGCATTAAACATGAGATAGGTTCAGTTACTCATCTGGTGACCCACATTTGCAAGGGCTAAACAGATACTGCAATTAAAACAAAATGGAAAAACGAAAAACTAACATGTGTAATTGTAACTGGAGTTGGTAGGAAAGAACAAATCACCCCCAACCTGGCCTCTCTCCACTGCCTTACTGTCCATTTTGGAGTTCACCTTAAGACTTTTTTTTATTTCTTCTTAAAAGTTTGCATGGTCTAGCTCCGTCTAACCTCTCTGAGCTGCTTCAACTGTACTCTGCAACAGAGGTCTAATAAAAAGCTCAGAATGGATAGAGCTTTAAAGGATTTGCTGCTCCTCCATATCCAGATCAGACATGTCCCTTTCCTGTCCACTTTTAAAATTATTCTAACAGTGCAACACTATTAAATGGTCTTAGGCAGAACTTTCAATTTAGAGATTATTTTAGTTCTGCTTTTATTTTGTTTCCACTGTTATTAATTGTTCTTAATATTCTTTCCTTGTCCATTTTTTGCTATGTCTCCGGAATTTACACATGCATTTTGTCACAGCTGTTTTTTTTATGTTTATTTAAAGTACTCTTTAAGAAATAATTCAATACCACAAGGGATTTAGCTTGATTCATAAAGAAATTGATTAAGACTGACCAAAACATGTTTAATCAAGATAAAAACAACAATCACAATTAATCAAGAAGCTGAAATTAAATGTTTAAAAACTCCTAATAGTTTTTAGTAGTTTAGTTTAGTTTAAAAACTAAACTTCTAATTGCTTCCATTAAAAAAGAGAAAAACTTTAACCCCCAAAACCCAGATACATTATTTTCTCTTACCTGTTATCCTGTAACGGTTCTGCGTTACCCATTCATGTTTCTTTACTACGTCTCTCATCTTCTTCACTTTTACCACTGATCCCACTCCCCCCACCACGTGCAGTTTTACCTCCTGGTGGCTGTTGCTAAGACACCACCAAGCTGACTCTGGTTTCCTCTGTGTACAAACTCCAAAAGATATGCCTTTCACTCTTAAACAATTGCCTAGCCTTTAGAGCTGTGCACTTTGTGATCTCTACTCTGTCAGGAGTGTTTAAACTGTGCATTTAGTGATTAATGCCTAATGCAGGCACTCACCCATGGGTCAAGCTGATATAATACATTGAAAAAGGACAGATTTTTTCTTTTAGCATTGATGTTGAGGGTAAAATATTTACTGTTTACCTTTTTTGGAAAATGCTTCATAAGCCTGCTTCATAGCTGTTATTTACAGGTAGCTGAAATAACTGCAAAATAATACTAGTTGTTAACTATTAACCAAGCAGTTTAAAAATGATAAAAAAGAAATTATTCACATAAATATATCATATAATATGTTAACCCTAGATGCATTGAATAGAAAAGAATAGAATACAATACAATACATTACAGTAGAAAAGGATAGAATAGAAAACAATACAATACATCACAATAGAATAGAATAGAACAGAAAATGCCTTTATTGTCCCAAAATGGAGAAATTACTGTGTTTACAGTAACGAAAAGATTATATAAAAATGGTCACACAAAAGTTATATTCATGCTAAAGCTGGTCTTCATAGAAATATCATATATTCAGCTTTGTTCATAACCGCAGCAACATCACAAACAGGGGTTGTAGTGCGATTATAAAAGAACAGTAAAGGTGCACAAGTTGTTTCACGCAAGTGAAGAAAATTGATCTTTTAACAACTGAGCCCTGATGGAGATATTTGTGCTTGTTGTGCACTCCACCCAGAAATCTTCCCTTCAACACATTCTGGCCTTGAGGCAAATACAAATAAGCTACCTACATTCTGAAAGCAGGATAATTAACTCTCTATGTTAAAAGGCAGTGTTTAAAATCATAGCACCAGGTTATTCTTGTTAAAAACAGGTATTAAAGAGGTTGCCCTCACTTAAAGGTATAGTGGAGGATTACAGCAACGGGTACAGGACCCCTGTACCCGCTCCCCGAGAGGGAACGCCCAGTAAAGGCATGTGAGAGTGTGCACGAGCCCATTTCTCCTCGTGCACGCTCTGTTTAAAAGTTACTGTTTGCATCGGTCATAAAAGCTTACTTCTCAAAAAAAGATTTGCACATTTTCCACTATGCCAGATTCACCACCGGACTGACAGAAACATATCACCAGAATGATTGACATTAAGGAGGACCACTTATTTTGATGATCCACTCAAAAAAAAACATCCTCCCCTATACATTTAAGCTGACATTATCTGCAGTTCTGAATAAATGTATCCAATATATAAATGAAGCTGATCTGATATTCATCTAAAATACCATTATGTCATGTTTTTTTCTTTGTCTAAATTTGTTCTCTGCAGGCAAAAGGACATAAGCTCATAGTTACTTTACAATACCAGCAACCATTTTCCAAATGGTTTGGGGAGAATTAACCAATGCAATTTGGTCATAGAATGATGTCTCACTTGGCTATAATAGGAAGTAGAAGCAACAAACTAGCTTGTATGGATCAGTAATAGAGCGAGGTTTTAATTAATGTGTTCCATTAGGACAAGTTGTACTTAATTTATCATGTCATAAGTGGCGATATATTCCTTCCAGAGACATAGAGAGAGAAGTGAGATTCTAATGCTTGCAATTTGAAGCTGGCAGTGGAAAAAGCCGATTGTCATGTGAGGTTAGTGTGGCATATGGAAGAATTTACTCAACAAATATGTTTTCGTCTCCTTTTTAGACAATTTACTTGTTTCTGAAAAAGTCAAAACCCATAAAAAGCAAGCCCAAAAGCTTTGGAAAATTTATTCCAGCTTTTCCATTTCCCCTGAGTTCTTGTAATGCCACATTTCCGAATGCACATTAAAAAAACATTGATGGAAACAAGTTTTTCATTATCAGTGTGTTTTTCTGAGAATAAAGTTAAGAAGATAATTTTAAAAGGAATAATTATGGAGTTTGAGGAGTTTATTCAGGCTGGAAGGAAGAGAGTGCAAGAATGAGCCATCAAAGTCAGTTCGTTGGGGAATATGCTGTAATCCATAACTGTTTTTAGCATTTTAGAAACTCTAACTTTAAATCTAACTTTAAACAGATGTAAATTCTCAAGCAAATGAACAATGTACCCGGTGGAGTTTTAGCAGAGCGAGCCACACTAATCTCTAAATGTAAATCAGTTGGAGGCATTTAAAAAAAAAAAAACTAATTTAAAGCATCTGCTTATACATTACGATGCTGCTTCTGAGAGTAATAAAAAATATATATATATATATTTCTGCTCAAGGCAAGAAGGATAGAAAAAGTTTAAAAGCTGTTTTCTTTTCAATCAAAACCAAGAGGAAAAAAATATATTGTAAGGTAAAGCTTAAAAAAAAAACAGAGATCAGAAATCCACACCAACACTGATATCAGTGCATCTCTGCCTCTGAGAGGCAGGCTACACCCTGGAGAGGTCACCAGTCCATCACAGCGACAAACAGGATAAACAACCATTCACACACACACTCACACCTAAGGACAATTTAGAGAAGCGAATTAACCTAATAGTCATGCTTTTGGACTGTGGGAGGAAGCCGGAGTACCCGGAGAGAAACCACGCATGCTCAGGGAGAACATGCAAACTCCATGCAGAGATACCCTGTCCTGTAATCGAACCCGGAACTTCTTGCTGCAAAGAAGCAGTGCTACCTGTTCTGCTACCTGCACTGTTCACTGTGCCCAAGAAGCCCAACATGAAATAATTGCAAATTAATTCAACGTTCAATGTCTCAATAAATACAAAAACAAATGCTGATCACAACTCGCTTCATTACTTGAACATCCTCACATGCACATTAATATCTAGTACCTAACGACAAACTAAAAAAACAGTAGCTATGACACAAATTTAAATCTATGTTAGTGTTAAAAATATAAACATATATAGCAGCATATATTCAAGATAATTTCTTTGATCAGGCTTTTACAAGACACAAAACAAAGACAAACCTAAAACAGAATAGAGATGACTTCTTCAGACAGTAATTAGCTGCTAATTTATTAAACACAAAAGAACAAAGAAAAGTGAATGCCTTATGAGATGTTCTTAACCATTTCAAAGTCAAATGAAAATATGCCCAGCCTCTAAAGAAAATAAACAATGCTAGCTCATAGATCATTTAAATGACTAATGATTTGACTTCACACAGCGCTGTCTTTTTTTATTTTCCCAGTTTCCTTTATGGTGATGGGCTGATGACTCAGTAACGGCCTGAAGAATCTAGCTTCACCCTTTGGAAAGGAGGCATTCATTCAAATAAACTTACACAATGGCACATGCCTACACCCACATGCTGCTGATATGTCAACTAAATGGTGCAAATGAAAAGAAAACATAAAACTGGCATTAATTACCTAACACTTTCTAGTATATTTTGTAATTCCTTTACAAATAAAAAAATAAATAAATGTTCTCCCTCTCCTTGTTTTCCAGTTTTTAGCTATCCAATCAAGACCATGGACTCTGACAATTTAGTAGAATCAGATATTTTTTGGCCGATCCTAAATAGACGATAAAAAGCATTGATCAAAAAAATAAGATGAAGTTGACATACAAATATCGACTCTAATTAACATTTAATGTTTTCCTGCCAAGAAATATTTGGTGTTTGTCTTCATCTTGATGAGAAGGGGACCTTCGTGTCTGTGCTACCTGAGAGCACCCTTTCAAATGAAAACATGAGTATAAACTAGCACCAGTTTGTGCACCTACTTCTTTTAATCGGTCACATGATACCATGCAGGAAGGAGCATAGGAGAGGCTGAGGATAACAGGCCAGCTGGGCTACGATGTCAGTGACCAGGATGTTGCCGTACCATGAGTTTTGGAGCATGTTCTCCAGCTTGGCAAACAGAACCACCATAAATGGGCCTAAACAAAGACAAACAGGCAGGCTGCTGATTGGATGGGTGGAAAGCAAAGATTTAACTAAAAGAAAAGAAATCAGGCCTTTGAATGATTAGAATCTTTATCAGGTTGATCTTAGTTTTTTCTGTTATCATAGGATGGAAGCATGTTTGCCTGATGTTCAAGACCTGACTGACTTCCATAGGAGGATGGACTGCATTAAAGAGAGGATGCTGTACCATCTGCTAGATTCTGTTGCTAGGCAACCCTTTAAGAAGCAGACATGCAAACATGAATGTATCTGAATATATATTCTGGTGTTTATCAGCAGCCTTTCCTGCCACTGAATGATGCAGAGTTTCTGTTAGGAAACAGAGTTTTATCTCAGTCTGTGTGCTCCATCCCTGCAGGTTATTCCAACAGAGGGCATCCCAGAGATCTGGTGCTGTTTCAAAAAGGTGTGTTCAATTTCACCTGTAATTTATCAGGTTCGGTAGTACCTGTTTAGGAGGAGCTAGTCGCCTTCATAGAATTAATTCAATAGGTAGTTATGGGCCTTCAAGGGAACAAAAAGCATTGATCAACATTCATTAAGAGAAACTATGCTTTAGATGTAGCTGAAATGTTGTCGTTTTTTTTTTTACTTTAGTCCATGAGCAAAAAAAAAGAAAAAATTATCCATAGGGTTAGTTATAGTTTCGCTTTGGTGTGCTGCCCTGTGCAGGTCTTTGCTCCCAGCGTCCAATCTCAACATGCACTGCAGGCATGTACTGTATACTCTAGGTGATCCTGGTTCTTATAGCCAAGATTTATTAAAGTGAAAAAAGTTTACATCTTGTTCATTCCATAGGGAGCAGTGTGTGCTTAGTCAGCAGCAAATTCAGAGAAATTAACAATTCTTCATAACCACACAGTTCAATGTGTCGAGTACAAACCAGAGTTAATGGCGCTTTCACTCTAAATGTGATTTGAGAGTAAGGGGGGTTTGGTTTATAAAGTCTATAGTGAACATGCATGGGGCAGCATGAGG